TCTCTCTGTGTGTGTGTGTGTGTGTGTGTGTCTCCGTGTGTGTGTGTGTGTGTGGACTGTCGATTCTTGTTGTCCTCAGGAGTGTTGTATGCACTTGAATTTCTGTAGATTAATTTCTTGCTCATGTCGGAGTCTGGGAATCGTCTTTTTTTGCATCACTGAGTCATTTGAGTCTTTGCCTGTGGAGTAGTAGTTGGCTTTTGTTTCTCTGCTACTTGTGGTGATCATTCACAAATGGAGATGAAATCTTTTGCTCAGGACGGTTCGAATTTGCAAGTCCTCCAGGCCTTCAGCCTGGCCCGGTGCTTCCAAAGTATTGTCTACACCTGTGAACCTGACCTGTGCTTTGGCCAGCAAAACTGTGAATCTGACATGCGCTTTGGCGAGCAAAACTGTGAATCTGACATATGCTTTGGCGAGCAAAACTGTGAATCTGACATGTGTTATGCCTCTTCATCGGGCTTTCCTTTTGCTTTCTGTCTTCCTTCAGGCGATGTTTTCAGTGGTGTTGGTCCTCTGGCTATCGCGGCAGCGAAAAAATGCCTCTTTGTGGCAGCAAATGATCTGAATCCTACGGCTGTGAACCTGCTTCGGAAGAACGCTGCGCTAAATGGTGTTGCAGGCAAAATGTCGGTCAGTGAATCGTTACCTCTCCTTGTGTTGCTCTTCTCATTCTCACATGGACCCCCCTTCTCTGCCTCTGTCAAGTTTCCTGAGCTCTGCCCACGTCTCAACTCCCCTAAGTTTTTGGATGTTCTGGAGAGATGGTTCATAGATGCACGATGAGCTTTATAAGAAAGACACGAGTAGAGTCAGCATCACTCGAGCAGTGATAAGCAGAAGGGTGATGGACTGCAGTTGCAGTTTCTGAAGTGTGCTATGTTATATTCACACTAAGATGAAAGCCTAGAACGACATTTTATGATTTTCGATAAGTTAAAAAATATATGATATATATATTGTCACATAACTACAAACTAAAAGAGCGCACTTTGCGAAACAAAGAATAAAAACAAAAAACGGGCACATTGCACAAATAAAAACAAAAAGAAAAAGAAAAAGCAAGGGCAGATTGAAACCATTAAATTTCTCATTCTTCTTTGAACTCCACCTCCACTGTGCCTCTCAC